AAGACGAAAAAGACAAGCTCCTGAGCGTGATTCAGTGGAGGGGAGGCATGGTGGCTCATCTGAAAGAACACCTCAAACTTCATGTGCCCCAGGCTGGACACCCCGCCTCTCCTCCCTCACGCGTCTGCACCGAGATACTCTCACACTGGAGAACGGAACCTCCAGGCCCTGGGTGCTCCGGCCAGAGCTCCAGGACGCACCAGTGATGCCTCCCTTTCCTCACTTCCCACATTCCCTGCATCTCGAGTCACATCCGTCCTTCCTCTAAGATGCAGCGAGATCGTCCATCCAGTTTGTTTCCCCTGCTCCTGCCTTAGCCCCAGCCCCATTTTCTCCAGCTTGGGCCTCTGCAGTAGCGTCCTGCCTGGGCCCCTGCTTCTGTCTTGTTTCCTGCCCCGCTGCCATTCATTTTCTCCCCAAGAGCCAGAGAAGTCTTCTTAGAACAAACAGGACCCTGTCACTCCTCTGATCACACCCTCTATTGTGTCCCAGTGCATTCAGGATAAACCCCCAAATCCTTCTCATGACCCACAAAGCTGACGGACTGAGCCCTTGCCTGCCTGCCTAGCCCCACAGTCACCATCCTCCCTATTACTGTCTGCATTGCAACCTTGTGGACCCTGCCTAGGTCCTTGAAAGCTTCTCCCTGCCACGAGCCTTGCGTGTGCTTCCTCCCTTAGCCCACCTGAAAGCTCTCCCCTCTCTGCTTCCTTTGGCCGCCTCCTACTCATCTTTCAGGTCTCAGCCTAAATGCCATGTCCCCAAAGAGGCCTTTCCAGACATACAACATGACATGTATCTCCTTTGTCCTCTCCTGGAACGCTGTCGTTTCCCTACGTAGAACTTGTCATGACTATAAGTAAAGAATTATTTTTGCCGGGCGCGGTGGCTCACGCCTGTAATCCCAGCACTTTGGGAGGCCGAGGCGGGCGGATCACAAGGTCAGGAGATCGAGACCACGGTGAAACCCCATCTCTATTAAAAAATACAAAAAAATTAGCCGGGCGCGGTGGTGGGCGCCTGTAGTCTCAGCTACTCAGGAGGCTGAGGCAGGAGAATGGCATGAATCTGGGAGGCGGAGCTTGCAGTGAGCTGAGATCCCACCACTGCACTCCAGCCTGGACGACAGAGCGAGACTTCGTCTCAAAAAAAAAAAAAAAAATTATTTTTGATTCTGTGTTTAATGCTTGTCTCTCCCACCAAGACAGACACTGTGTTGCTTGCCACTTACACCAGCTCCTTAGCACAACCTTGCGCACAGCTTGCGCACAGGAGCCATTTCAGTGTGTGTTGCTGAAACAGTCAGCCAGCCACTGCCACAGGGCGCAAAAGGCACCAGAAAGGGGAAGGCAGAAGGTCAGGGATATGGGCCCCTGCTGTGCCCAGGCCAGCTCTGAACCTGCAGGGTGACCACAGAGCCAATAGGCACGCCTGGTTAACTGTGTCCACATGTTTCCCCTTGGCCTCTCACAGGTCCCCACCAAGCCATTTGGGTAAGATCACAGCCCCTAGGAAGACATACATTAGTGCCAGCCACTGAGCAGCAGAGAGCCAGGGAGGGGTGGGGGAGAGGAGGGCACAGGGGCCACCTGCCCCAGGAGATGTCAGCAAGGAATGAGATGTGTGCAGTCCCCCTGCAGGGCTGGCTCTCTCGTGTACTTCAATCTCATATGTAATTTTTAAAAATGGAATAATGGTTCATATTGCCCAAGCTTGAGAAGATGGAGTCATTGTACACAAGTGAAGCACTTAGAGCCATATTCAGTACAGAAAGCTCGGAGGGAGCTCCCCGCACTGGAGTAAGGGACCTCCCTGCCACGCCGTGCACACACAGGAGTGAAGAGAAGGGAGCCCAGTGGGGCAGGGAGAGGCCTCACAAGACTAGGAAGCTGACAGCCCGCTCTTCCCAGCTGTGGGAGCATGGGGCAAGCCCTACGCGGCCTTAGTTTTGTCTTCTGTAAAATGGGGAGATGATACACCAGAAAAGACCACCCGGGAATGTGAGGTGCTCTTTACCTTAAAGACGACCGATGAGGAGAGAGGACTCCGGGCCGCCCTGGGTGGAGGCTGCAGGATGGATTTGGTAAACTGCCCGCACTCAGCTCTCCATGAGGATTCCAGGGCAGCACGGAAGGCTGGAAAGTGGGGATTAGGAGTGCTGGTAGACGCTGCAAAAGAAGAGAAGCAACAGGGCAGAGAGTGAGAGAAGGGGAGGGAGAAAAAGAGGGCACGGTGCGGGCAGAAGCTTATGCTCAGGGAGTGAAGAGGAGGCTCATGCTGGAGAGGGCCAAGGCTGATGGGTGCTTCCGGGGACTCTGGAATGAGCAGGGCTTATGGCAGACAGCACAGTCCCACCCCCAGCCACCTTCCCCAGGATGACACAGGCCCTATCAGAAAGGCAAACAGTGACCAGTGATTCCCCCGGAGGACGGCGGGGACGAAGCCACCAGCCCGCCGGAAGTGCTGCTGTGGTCGTCCGCCCCCTGCCTTTGGGAGCATCTGCTTCAGAGATGGCCGGTGCCTCTGGGTCCCTGTCCTGAGCGGCCACCTGGTCCAACCCCCAACTCTCCAGTGAGGAAGTGGCCTCCTCAGGCAGGAGGGTAGAGTGTCCCACCCCTCAGCAGAGCTTCCTCCCTTCCAGCGGGGGCTTTCACAGCCAGAAAATGTCATTTTTTCCCCCAGGGTCTGGGAAACCCAGAATAGCACCTGTTCATGAAACACAGACACCCTGTGGTGGTAAATGCAGGGAGGGAGGAAAGCAGGATGGCCAGCGCACAGCCGGGGAAGCACTAAATCTGTTCATGCCTCCATCCACCCCTCCCTCACCACCCGCACTGCAAAAGCAGCCGATATCCAGGTGGGGACACATGCCCCTGAGGGCTGCTGCCCGGTGGCCTGTCAGTTGCTGGATTCACACTTTAAAAGCCACAACGAGGCCTACCCTTGCACTCAGCTCAGCCTTTGGTGTCACAATTTAGGAACAACCTGGAGATCTTGCAGAGAATGCTGATTCCCAGGCCTTGCCCCCAAATATCCTAATTTGCTGGGTCTGGGGTGGGGTCCAGCGAGCTGCATTTTAACTCTTATGACTCTGCTGTGGGGTCCTGAGAACACACACTGGAAGATGTTGGATGGGAGGCCCCTCTGGCTCCACAGCCCACGTGCCCACCCCTGCAACCCTCCCTGCTTTGAGGCCCACAAGGGGTGTATTCAACTCCCATTATGTGGGCCGACCTTTCAACCTGGCTGCTTCTCCCATCCCAGTCTTTGGCACTCAGGCTCTGGGCTCACTGCTGGGGCTTTTAGCAGCAGCCCTGAGCGAGTGAGCAGCTGCTTGTCACCTGAGTGAAGGCCTGGAAACTAGGCCATCGTGCTTGGCTGGGCAGATCCCACCCTCACCAGCTGCTCCCACCGCCTCCTACGGAAGCCTGCCCCCACGGTGCCCTGGGCCTCCCGGCACCCCCGCCGTTGCAGGGTGAGACCTGGTCCACAGCTCCGGGGCAGAAGGCACTCAGAGAGAGGCTCTTGGAGGAACGTGGATGCGGGAGGCCGGGTGCCAGGACCTCAGGGTTCAGAAACAGGGAAGGGGCGGGGCACATGACAGATGGGGACAAGTCCTGGGGAGCCACTCAGAGAGACCAAGGGCCTCTTCCTTGGCCTCAAAAGAGTCAGCGCCCTGGGCTGAGAGGGTGGGATGTGGTTGCTCCATGCCGCCCCCACCAGGCCGTGGCGCACTTCACATCTTCATCTCTTCCAGTCTTTCTCTGTCTTTTCCTCTTCCCCTCCTGTCCCTTTCTCTCCTCGTGTCTCTCTGTCTTTCCCCCTTCCTCCCTCTGTCTGTTTTTCACTTGTTCTTCGTCTCACTGTCCGGTCTTGCTCCCTTTCTGGGATCTCTCTCCTGCCTTTTCCTCCTTGCCTGTCCCTCTCTCTCCTTTCTCTCTCTGTCTGTCTAATTAGACTTTCCTTGACCTTCGCTGCCCCACTCCATCTCTCTGGCCCAGACACTCTGACTCCCTTGATGCGTGACCACACTGGTTCACCTCCTCCAGGCTCTGTCTCTGTACCCATCGGACCACAGCCTCTTGGTCACCAGCCCTGGACAGTGTCACTGTGTGGCTCCGTTGTGCCCAGTTGCTGACTCCTGATGGGCTGGGCTATGGGAACACACGGATGTGGCCACATAGGGCCTTTGGTGCTCACATACGGCTGCAGAGGGTACAGGGTGGAGGTGAGGAGGGTCACTGGGAAATCAGAGCAGCCTCTCACCTGGCTGGCCCTGGAGGCCCCTGTTCCCCAGCCGGCACCTCAACCTCAAATGCCCTGATCCTGGTGCTGCTGATTCTCATCCTTGGGCAAGATGCTGGCCTCCACCCCTAGCCCCACCCTCACCTGCCCACCGTCCTGGCCAGCAAGCCTGAGAGGAGCGGGCTTTGACCAAGCCAAGGACAACTCACAGCCTGAAGATGGCCATGGGCCCTGCCTGTGGGAGGGAGGGGAAAGGAAAGAGGAGAGACTCCCAGCTCCCTCTTGGCACCCCCGCCCTTTCTAAGGGCCTTCGGTGATGCGCTTTCCTCCTTGTTCTCCCCAGAAAACTGTGGGAGAGGCAGAGTCCACGGACCCCCAGGTCCTGACCACCACCACTCTTGCGTCTCCCCTCGTTTTCTCCTAAAAACTGACAGCAGAGTTGGGGTCTCCACGTCTTCTGGGCAGTGGGCACAGAATGGAAGCTGAGGTCATGGAGGAAGTGGGTCCTGCTCAGAGCTCATGTCACCATCCCATGGCCACTCAGCAAGCGTTTTCTGTGCCCTGATGTGCTGGGCAGGCAGGCCAGAGGACCATGGGAGCAGAGAGGGATTGCTTGCCAGCAGTGGGCAGTGTCGGGGCAGTGTGCAGGGGCTGTGCCATAGCCGGTGGGAGGAGACTGGGGTGAGTGGGTGTAGAGTGGGCAAACGTCAGCTCCAAGAGCCCAATCTAACACGCTTGGTCTGCTTCTCCCAAAGGGAAAGCAATGCCCAGGGGACATTGGGTCCCCTGCTTTGCCAGGCCTGGACTCCTGCCTCGCTGCACATGGCCCTGGGGACAGAGCACCCCAAAGGAGGGTGAGGCAGGGTGAGGGGGCTGGGAGGGTTCGGCCTCAGACCCTGCAGTGCAGAGTCCCCTGGATCGGGCTAGACCAGAGGAAGGCGCCTGCTTAGCTGGGAGAACTGGCATGTGACCGCCCACACACACACTCTGAAGCTCGGGATGTTCAGAGGCAAACCCCCCAGGGCTGGAGGCAGCGTTTCAGAGGTAGCAAGGCCCTTGGGGAGCAGGGACTCCAGCTTCCTCCTTTTTCAGAAGGGCACACGGAGGCCCCAGGAGTGAGTGGGCGAGCCAGAGTCACACCAAGTTCGTAGGAGGGCCAGGACCAGAATCTGGCCTGCGTGTCACGCTGTCCCCTCACGTTAAGCGCATTTGTCATTTACTCTTAAGAGGCCATGCCTCCCACCACAGTCTCCCCTGAGGGCTGGGGCAGTTGGAAGGAGCTGGGCTGCAGAAAGCCCCAGGGGCTTGAGGGGCTCTGCTCCTTACTGCTCAGCCTACAGCAGAAGGGACCCAAGGGAGGACTCAGCCACCTCAAGACCCAAATGAGAAAGTGAAATTTAAACCTGGGAGAAACACAGGCTCCTAGCAGTTCTCTGAAAGAACAGAATAAATGTGTTTACTGTATTATTTATATTGAAAGCTTTGCTTGGGATAATCTGAGGTTAAGAAGGAAGGAATTGGGATTTGGAGTCGGAAGATCCGAGTTCAGCCTCCCTCCACCCCTGTGTCCTAGGCCACCAAAGCTTCTCCTGGCCTCAGGGTTTGGGCTCTGAAAGGGCTACTGTGGGAGATGGGAGGAGATGGTCCTCTTGGGGCATTAAAGGGAGAACCCCGGGGGTGAGTAGCCTGAGGGGCCCTGCACCCGTCCTGGCTGGGAACGGAGGCCAGCGGGAATGGGTGTTGGAGGGTGCTTAGGGGGCTGCCTGACCTCACACCCTCCCTGCCTGCCCTCAGCTGCGTGGTGGACGAGATGGACTTCTCCAGCATGGAGCTGGACGAGGCCCTGCGCAAGTTCCAGGCACACATCCGTGTGCAAGGAGAGGCCCAGAAGGTGGAGCGGCTCATTGAGGCCTTCAGGTAAGGCCACTTCCCAGCTCCACTCCCCAACAGACCCCAGGTTGGGGAAGCCCAGCCGCTGTGAGCCTGGGAGATAGGAGATGTTATCAGGAGGGTTGGACATTGGGCCAGAAACACCCCTTCTGGTGTGGGCAGGATAGGCTGGGGAGAAAGAAGTGAAGGAAAGAAAAGGGACTGACCCCTTGAGCTCCCCAGGCTAGAAAGGTGGGGCATTTGGGGGTGTGGGGAAGAAGACCAGGGTGTGGGACAGATGGTGGTCTCCCTGGACCTAAAGCCTTTGGAGAGTTGGGATATCCCCTGGATACACCCTCCTTTGTTGGGCCTGGGGGAGGGTGAGCGGGGGCTCAGTGTCCGCTCTGCATCTGACCCGCCCACAGCCAGCGCTACTGCATGTGCAATCCCGAAGTGGTGCAGCAGTTCCACAACCCCGACACCATCTTCATCCTCGCCTTCGCCATCATCCTCCTCAACACCGACATGTATAGCCCCAACATCAAGCCTGACCGGAAGATGATGCTGGAGGACTTCATCCGAAACCTTCGAGGTGAGGAGGTGGGCACTGGGGCAGGAGGGGCAAGACCATGGCTCAGGCCCGGTCTGTGCAGCATGCATTCTGTGAGTCTGAGCCCCTATCACAGATCATCACCTGCTCTCTGGGCCTGGTCACCCACAGCAAGCTGGGAACATTAGTTGTGTGCCAGGCGGCTGGGGCATTTCCAAGAGCCACCGCCACTGCAGAGCAGCAAGCACCCTTGGGCAGTGCCTCTTGCCCTCCATGGAACGTGGTTGGCCTCTAGGCCCGTGACACCAGAGTTGCTGGCTCAAGTGGTGCCAGCCCTTCCCCTCCACAACTTATGAGGAAGGAGCCAGGAACAGGGCATTCAGGTCCTGGATCCATTCAAGTCAGCCTTGCAGATAACTTTATGGCACCAGCCATAAAGAATCCCCTGATTCAAGTCTCTCATCGATGCAGTGTGCTGTCTGGCAGGGAGCAAACCAGGACTGGCAGACTGTGATGTGTGCTCAATTGATTTTTTTTTTTTTTAGCCTTTAAAAGAATCAAAGTTATACATCCACATAATTTAATAAAGTCAAATAATCCTTATTATAATCCTTATAACAAGGCTTATCACAGAAAAAAATTAGTCCCTGCCCCTCTCACCACTCACCTTCTCCAGAGGCAACCACTTTTGACATTTTTAGCTATTTGTGTTTCTTCTGTATCGATAAACCGCATGCTTATGCTTCTCTGTTTTTTTCTATCCCTTTTTTTAACTGGCATAAAGCCCAGACTGTGAGTGTGTGTGCCTGAAATTTGATGAATGTGTATGTTCGTGTGCATTTATGCCATCACACCCAGATCCTGATCTGGATCATTTTCACCTGCCCAGAATGTTCTCTCCTGTCCCATCCCAGTCAATACCTTTGCCCAAGAGTAACAACTATTCTGCCTTTTATCACCATTGACGAGTCTTGCCAGTCCTTGAACTTCATCTAAATAGGGCTATACAGTATTTATACTTTGGTATCTCGTCTCTTTTATACACTGCTCCTTGTTAATTATTACTTCTGTCACCCAGGCTGGAGTGCAGTGGTGCAATCTCAGCTCACTGCAATCTCAGCTCACTGCAACCTCCACCTCCCAGGTTCAAGCAATTCTTGTCCCTCAGCCTCCCAAGTAGCTTGGATTATAGGCATGCACCACCACACCCAGCTAATTTTTATATTTTTAGAATAGACGAGGTTTCACCATGTTGACCAGGCTTTTTTTGAACTCCCTACCTCAGGTGATCCACCTGCCTCAGCCTCCCAAAGTGCTGGGATTACAGACATGAGCCACCACGCCTGGCCCTTGTTAATTATTTTTATTTTAAGCATTATCTATTAATTCCCCATTATAGAATGTAAGGATTTAGCCCTCTTTCATCCACCTTCCCCGACCCATCCCACTCACATTAGCGGTCATGTTGTTAAGGTTCTGCACACACACTCCAAAACTGAGTCTGCAAGTGCAGAATGATTGCAACTCCCTCCTATCTCTACTTTCCTTGGAGTTAATGCTTCTCTTTCCATTTGCTTAACTCTCTGAGGACCTCCCCTGATTCAGCCCCAGCTTCCCACCCTACGTGTCAAGCTCCTCTCCATACATCCAGACCTGGGAGGTGGTGCAGGAGCATCATCTTCGGGAGCCTCTGGTCCTGCTACAGTCTGGACAGTGGCCGGGCCAGGGCACAGCCGGCATCCTGGGCCCTCCTTCCCTTGCTCTCATGGTAGATTCCTGGTTCCTGCATGTCAGAGCTTCCTCATTTTTATTTTACTTCCAGAGAAAAGGCCATTTTTGAGAACTTGCATTTCTGAATGTATGTTTTTCTGTCTTTGACCTTGGTTGGGAGTTTGGCTGGGGATAGAATTCCAGCCTCAAAACACGCCAATCGGGATTTCAAAGGCATTGCTTCATTGTCTTTTAGCTGCCAGTGCTGTTCTGCCCTCCCAGATGCTGGCCTTTTGTCTGTTACTCTTTCTCTCTCTCTGAAAGCTTGCAGGTTCTTCTGTCTGCCCTTCGTGTTCTGGATTTTCACGATGATGTGCCTTGCTACAGTTCTTCTTTCATCCCTCATGCCCAGGGCTGCATTGGTCCTTTCCATCTAGAAACTCATGTCCTCCAGTCATGGAAAGTTTTCTTAAATGTTGTATTTGATCATTTCTGCCCTCCAATTTCCCTGGACTCTCTTTCTTGAACTCCTGTTATTCTGTTGGTTGATCTCCTAGTCTGATCCTCTAACTTTTATAGTTTTATACCTGCCATCTTTGTTTACTTCCTTGACTTTCTGGAAAATGTCCCTCAGTGTCATCTTTCATGTCTCCTACCAAGTTGTTCATTCCTGCTGTCATATTTTTCATTCTCAATAGCTCTCTTTTGTCCTCTCAATGTTCCTCTTTTATAGCATTTTATTCTCACTTTGTAGATCCAATATCTTCTCCCATCTCTGTGAAGATATTAATATTGGTTTGTTTGTTTGAGTTTCTCCCTGCTTGCCTCTATTTCTTCTGGAGTTCTTTTTCTGTTTTTCCCCATATTCCTTTCTCTTTCCTGGTATAGACTTTCCAAATGCAGTTGATGAAATCTGGTTGTTCATTCTTATTTAAAGTGAGACACCAGAAAGCTGGTGAATAACTCTGTGAACACAGGTGGGGGCTGCTGGCTGGTGGACTTTCTTGTAGGGTGATTTAGTTAAGCCATTTCATTGGGAGATCCCCACTGCAGTATCTGAAGACATTTTTTTTTCTTGTTCTGCCTGATACCCAGAAGATAAATGTCCAATCTGTTGCCCAGAATGTATGATTCTGGCTGCCAGAGTTCTGAGATCTTTAAGTGGGAAGTGGGGTTGAGGGTTAATATAAAGATATCAACTTCATCCCCCACTTTTCAGCAGAGTCCCACCCTTGGCTGTGTGTAGGGTCCCTCAGCCCAGAGTTCTAGAGAATGGACTCCCAGTCTTCTGCTGGAGTGAGGAGGGAACAGGGAAGCGCAGCAGCTTTCTAACCCATTTTCAACCTGTTTTCCTATTTCCAGCCCACCTTCACCTTCGCTTTTAGGGGTTGCTGTTACACCAGCTCTAAGCCGTTTGGTGGCTGTGTGGTATTCGAGCGGCTTCTAGCCTCTCTGCTGGTATAGGTTTCAGCTTTCTCAGGTTTGCTAAATCCATCCACTTAGTTATCCACTTTCCAGGTCCTGGGATGCCTGTGCCTTTGTTCCTGTTCTGTCTTTGTGCGTTTATGCTTTTCTACAAGATTCCTTTCTCCCGAGTATTCAGAAGCAGCAGAGGCATGCAGCCTGCCACCTTGAACTGGAGGCATCCATATACTCAGCCTTTCTCCTTGCTTTTTCTTACCCACAGCCTGATTTCCTTCAGCCTCCTTGACTGCTGCATGGCTCATTTGCCTGACTTTAAGAACCAAGATCAGATGTGGAAGAAGCCAGAACAGGCAGGGAGCTGTTCAGAGAAGGCATGGTGTCCTTTCAGTAGCTGGGAACACTCCTTTGAGAGATGCTTGCCAAAGTTGCTTTATTTTTAATTTTTCCATCATAAAAGAAGCATATAGTCATTAAAGAAAGATTTGGAAATAGTAGAAAGAAGATTATTTTAATTGCCTGTTTCTCCAAAAGAAATGTGTTTGCTTTTTGGCATATTTCCTGCCAGTGTTTTTTTGTTGCCAGAGTTTTATCATTACTATGAAGCAGGAGGTGGAACGGGGTGTCCTCGCCTGCATTGCCATTGGGTCTGCCTGCTCCCCCACTGCTCCCAGTGAGGGAGGAATCCCTTCAAAGACTAAGCTCTCAACTCCATGCTTCCCACTGGAGGGGAGGGGAGAACCCAGGAGGAGGAAGATCCAAAAAGAGAATGAAACAGAACCTCCTTGTGATGCTAGAGTGGTAGGGCGGAGCTGGGGGGTGAGACAAGCACAAGGAAGATGATAGAACTGCGGAGGCACAGAGGGTTGGCAGGAACATGGAGGTGGTATTTGGCCATTGGGAAAGAGGCCTGGGAGGGGGGCGCAAAGACTCCGCTTGAGGAACATCAGGAGGTGAGGCAGGAAATGGGTGTTGGGGCCATATCATATCATTAGTTTTGGTGCCTGGCTAAGGAACTTGTTCTTAATTGAATGGGTATGAGGCACCAGGCATTGAAGGCATGGCAAAAATCAAGACCACCCGCGGGGAGCTCCAGGCTGGATGGGGGTCTCTTCTGTCTGGCTCCAGCGCTCTGACACCCTCCCTCCCAACCCCACCACCACCCCTGCCCACTCCACATTGTTAGGTGTGGACGATGGCGCTGACATCCCCAGGGAGCTGGTGGTAGGCATCTATGAGAGGATACAGCAGAAGGAGCTCAAGTCCAATGAGGACCACGTCACGTACGTCACCAAGGTGGAGAAGTCCATCGTGGGCATGAAGACAGTGAGTGTCCACAAGCCACCTATCTTCTGTCTCCTTTCCTTCCTTCCTTCCTGGCATCTCTTCCCATTCTCCTCCTTACCTTTCCGAAACTCTTTCTTCGTATTCATTCACATTAATAGTTATGGAGTAGCTACTGTATGCCAGACACTGCATCTCTTTTTTCTTGCCTAATTTCCTCATTGCCTCTTGCCACCAGATACTGCAGCAGGACAATCTGAGATGAGATGTCAAGAAGCATGGCCTGGTGGTCTAGGGTGGAAGCATCTGGGTGGTCAGATGAGATTTAGTATCCCTTTCCTAGGACAGCATGACTACTAGGCATTCCTGGATGGTCCTGATGAGTAGAAGGCAGGAAATGGACTCAATAGGCTCTACGCTGTGGCATCACCATAGAGGTGCCTTACTGGTAGTGACCTGTGTCCCAGGCAGCATGTTCCAAGCCTGCAATGATTTTTAAAGTGGGCCTTCTCTGTAGGCTACACTTTATACTATAAAGGATGTCATGGGGGTTCCAGTTCCTCCTCCTCATATTGTTGGCTCAGGGGACAGTTTGGGAGAGTTTGGAGACCTCTTCTGAGGCTCTGCACTAGGCTCCCTCCACCCAGTCTGTGCGGGGACAGCGTTTTCTGCTTTGAGAGCCTTTATTGCTGAGGTCTTAGCATCTGTCTGGTTGCAAGCAACTGGTTTGTCTTACACGCTGGAGTAGACACCAGGTGTCTCTGTGATCCCTTCGCGCTTGCACACTTGCATCTGTGCAGTAGAGAAAGGGTGGAGGTGTCATATCTGCAGGCTGCTGCCTGGGACAGGGGATGCCCTCAAGGTTATAGAGGGAAGCAGGTTGACAGTGGCTGGATTGGAACAGCCTGAAAGCTCTTCTCAATGTCCTTTTCCTGTCCCTCTATCACCTCATTTACTGTGGCTTAGTGGACCCCTTCTCCTTGGCTGTGCTCCCCAAGAGGCATGACAGGGATGAGCCCTGGGGACATGGGGTGAGTATGTGAGGTAAAGAGCCTCAGAAGAGGAGAGAGAAGGATGAGAGTCAAGTCCAGGCCCCACCACAGAACCGGAGCCCCTCCCCTCTCCCTCCACAGAGCCGGAGCCCCTCCCATCTCCCTCCACAGAGCCGGAGTCCCTCCCCTCTCCCGCCACAGAACCGGAGCCCCTCCCCTCTCCCTCCACAGAACCGGAGCCCCTCCCATCTCCCTCCACAGAACCGGAGCCCCTCCCCTCCCTCTCCACAGAACCGGAGAGCCCCGCCCTTCTCCCTCCACAGAGCCGGAGCCCCTCCCCTCTCCCGCCACAGAACCGGAGCCCCTCCCCTCTCCCTCCACAGAGCCGGAGCCCCTCCCCTCTCCCTCCACAGAGCCGGAGCCCCTCCCCTCTCCCGCCACAGAACCGGAGAGCCCCGCCCTTCTCCCTCCACAGAGCCGGAGCCCCTCCCCTCTCCCGCCACAGAACCGGAGCCCCTCCCCTCTCCCTCCACAGAGCCGGAGCCCCTCCCCTCTCCCGCCACAGAACCGGAGAGCCCCGCCCTTCTCCCTCCACAGAACCGGAGCCCCTCCCCTCTCCCGCCACAGAGCCGGAGCCCCTCCCCTCTCCCTCCACAGAGCCGGAGTCCCTCCCCTCTCCCTCCACAGAACCGGAACCCCTCCCCTCTCCCGCCACAAACCGGAGAGCCCCTCCCCTCTCCCGCCACAGAACCGGAACCCCTCCCCTCTCCCTCCACAGAGCCGGAACCCCTCCCCTCTCCCTCCACAGAGCCGGAACCCCTCCCCTCCCGTCTCTACAGAACTGGAACCCCTCCCCTCTCCCGCCACAGAACCGGAGAGCCCCTCCCCTCTCCCGCCACAGAACCGGAACCCCTCCCCTCTCCCTCCACAGAGCCGGAACCCCTCCCCTCCCCCTCCACAGAGCCGGAACCCCTCCCCTCTCCCTCCACAGAGCCGGAACCCCTCCCCTCTCCCTCCACAGAACCGGAACCCCTCCCCTCTCCCTCCACAGAGCCGGAACCCCTCCCCTCTCCCTCCACAGAGCCGGAACCCCTCCCCTCCCGTCTCTACAGAACTGGAACCCCTCCCCTCTCCCGCCACAGAACCGGAGAGCCTCCCCTCTCCCGCCACAGAAGCGGAGCGCCTCTCCTCTCCCTCCACAGAACCAGAGAGCCCCTCCCCTCTCCCGCCACAGAACCGGAGAGCCCCGCACTTCTCCCGCCACAGAAGCGGAGCCCCTCCGCTCTCCCTCCACAGAAGCGGAACCCCTCCCCTCTCCCTCCACAGAGCCGGAACCCCTCCCCTCTCCCTCCACAGAACCGGAACCCCTCCCCTCTCCCTCCACAGAACCGGAGAGCCCCGCACTTCTCCCGCCACAGAAGCGGAGCCCCTCCCCTCTCCCTCCACAGAGCCGGAACCCCTCCCCTCCCGTCTCTACAGAACTGGAGCCCCTCCCCTCTCCCTCCACAGAACCGGAGCGCCCCTCCCCTTTCCCTGGGCCCCCGTCTCCTCTTCTGGAAAATGGGCGCTGTGGTTGGGGAGGCCTCGAGGCCTCTGGTTTCTCCCGCTGAGCGCCACGCCCGCGTGCAGGTGCTGTCGGTGCCCCACCGCCGCCTGGTGTGCTGCAGCCGGCTCTTTGAGGTGACGGATGTGAACAAGCTGCAGAAGCAGGCGGCTCATCAGAGGGAGGTGTTCCTCTTCAATGACCTGTTGGTGGTGAGTGGCCCCCCGCTCCGGGACTGGGCTGGGCTGGGGCTACCCGCTGCCCTGAGCAGCCTGGGCAGGGTCCCTGAAGTGGGCAGGAAAGGACGCCCAGAGGTTTCAGACGGAATGCGTGTTCCGTGGGACGGATCTGTCTTCATGGTGCTCTCACACCGTGGGCGTGAGGGGGCTCAGGCAAACATGCTAATTCCTACTTAATAAGTCGTGACACCGAGACATCAAATGATCTGCTCGTGGTTGCACAAACTGTTAACAAACTAGATCCCAGACCATTGGCCTCTCCACGTTACAGGAAGCCCAGGGCAGGGAGCGCACAGGGCAGGGAGCACACAGGGCTGTGCCTCACACCCCAGGGCCTGGGAGGAACAGGGCCTACCTAGGTGGAGCATGCTCTGTCCCTGGGCCTAGGCGAGGCTGGTTTATCTGTGTGTGTGTGCGCGTGCGTGCACATGCATGCACACATGCGTACATCTGTATCCACAGACACTCGTTCCTTGCTCTTTGAAAACAAGTATCCATTCAACAAATATTTAATCAGTGTTGACCCTGTGCCAGGCATTATTGTAGGTCTGGAAAACTGGTGAGCAGGACTGGAACAGGGCTTGCCTCTCCCATGCACGGGCCCTGCCTCTAAAATGATCACAAGCCTGAACGACCTCTCACCACCTCCACTACTGCGGTCTTAGCGTGCGCCTGGTACATTCAGTGAACCACATCAGCCTCCACACGGCTCTCCCCACCTCTAGGGTTCACCCCCTGAGAGCAGCAGCGTGATCTCTCTGGAGTGCACATTAGGCCACGTGTCCCTTCCCCTAATCTGCCTCCCTGCCCTCTCCTCAGCCCTGTGAGCCGCCTCCCTTCTGTGGGCCAGGCCTTTGTACTTGCTGCTCCTTCTTGCGAAGCTCCTCCAGACCTTGCACTCTCCTCTTGCCTTCCTGGCCTCCTTCTTTTCATTCAAGTCTCAAATCACTTTTGATTCCTTACCCTATTTCATTTTCTTCAAAACACTTAGCACCTTGGTTTTGTTTTGTTTTTTTTTTGTTTTTTTTTTTTTTTGGAGACGGAGTCTCGCTGTGTCTCCCAGGCTGGAGTGCAGTGGCGCGATCTCGGCTCACTGCAAGCTCCGCCCCCTTGGTTCACGCCATTCTCCCGCCTCAGCCTCCCAAGTAGCTGGGACTACAGGCGCCCGCTACCACGCCCGGCTAATTTTTTGTATTTTTAGTAGAGACGGGGTTTCACTGTGTTAGCCAGGATAGTCTCGATCTCCTGACCTCGTGATCCACCCGCCTCGGCCTCCCAAAGTGCTGGGATTACAGGCTTGAGCCACCGCGCCCGGCCAAGTTTTGTTTTTTTTTTGCTGTTATGCTTTATTATTTGATCACCTGATGGACACTGTGACACTCCACATTCCATAAGCACTTTGAGGGCAAGGGCTCTGTTCTGAGTTCTCCTGTATCTCCAGGGCTCAGCTCACAGAAGTCTCCGAATAGAAATTTGTTTATTAAGCAACCAGATGACTTTACTAAAATAAGCTTTCATTTCAGTAGGGGAGGGAGATAGAAAATAATTAAGAAACAGACAAACAAGATAATATCAGATTGGGGGAAGGCACTATGAAGGCTGCAACCAGGTGATAGTACGGAGAGTGACTGGGGTTAAGGGCCGGATTTGGGTTTGCTGTGGTTTGTTTTCTAGAGGGGGTGGTCCAGGAAGGCATCTCTAAGGAGGTAGCATTTGAGACTTAAGTAATGAGAGTAATGCAGGTGTGCAAAAAGCTGCCGGGAGAGCTGTGAAATGGGAACAGCGTATGCGAGGGGCCCACAGTGGAACTGAGCTTGCCCTTCTCAAGCTACAGAAGGGAGGACACCGTGGCTTGGGCAGAAGTCCAGAGTAAGGCAAGGATCACATCAGGTGGGTTTTACAGACCAGCTCAGGCTCCGTGGCTTGGCTTCTAAGTGCAGAGAGAATAATGACTGTAGGGTTTTGTGCAGTGAAGACGCACATTTTGGTATAGTGTGTGTACATATATGTATGTATCTGTATCTGTATGTGCACATTCATCACTGCATGTGTTTACTTCTGTGATCATGCATCCCCCTGGGTGTTTGTGCATCCATGTTTCCATGACTGTCTGCTCATCAGCACATGTCTATCTCCCTCTCCTGAACAGATTCTCAAACTTTGCCCGAAGAAGAAGAGCTCCTCCACGTACACCTTCTGCAAGTCAGTTGGCCTGCTGGGCATGCAGTTCCACCTCTTTGAGAACGAGTGTAAGTCTTTGACAGCCAATGTAAGTCTTTGAGAAAGAATGGATGAATGAAATGGCTGGGGCGAGTTGAGGGAGAAGTGCTGGACAGCAGAGTGGATAGAGGCATGAGTGCCCCCAAGACCCCGTGCCCTCCTCATGTCTGGCTGGCTCCAGCCCTCAGCTGCTGCTGCTCACAGCCCACTGGGGGCCTGGGGTCTGCTTTCCAGATTACTCTCATGGCATTACACTGGTGACACCGCTCTCGGGCTCCGAGAGGAAGCAGGTGCTGCATTTCTGTGCCCTGGGCTCGGACGAGATGCAAAAGTTCGTGGAGGACCTGAAGGAGTCCATTGCTGAGGTGACAGAGCTGGAGCAGATCCGGATAGAGTGTAAGGACACAGGCTTCCCGAGGCAGCTGGTGGGGGTTCCCATTCAGCAACGGACAGGGGTAGCTTGAGACAGACATGCCTGACTCCAGGGAGCAGCGCAGCCCTGCCCTGGCCCCACTTCGGACCCTCCCCATCTCCAGGCCCCACCACACCACACTCCCACAGCCCGGGTGGGAGCACCAGTTTCCATGTTTCTTCACAATTAAAGTGAGGCTTGCTAGAGTGCACACACATGTGTACACAGATCAGCCGGCACGTGGGGTTGCATGTGGGCCTCTTGGAACAGAGAGCTCTGCTATGTTTTACCAGGATGACCAAGCGAGCTGGCCAGGCAGGCCCATGGGGCTCTGGTGCTTTTCTTCCCACCAAACCGTCTGCTGTTACCTCCCCCGCTGTGGCCCAAGTCTGTACATTGCATCTGGTTGGCCTCATTTCTTCACTCTCTTTTAATCTTGAATCATCCCTCCACTTTATTTTCTTTAAAACATTGTCCTTTTGAAGAGCCTAGGCTGCTTTCTTACTATCCCTCATCTTACAGTAGTCTCTGTTCCTCTAAGGAAGGCTTAGATTCTAGATTATTCCATTCAGGCATTTTAGAGAATATGTGGGTCTCCTTGTATGTCCAGGTGGTTTACTGTCCGCTTTGGGGTTAAGGGAAGAGCAGCAAGGGCCTGCAGCCTGTACCCACCTACAAGCTTGTACTGATTAAGCATCACAGAGGCTCCAGATAGCCTTTAAGGGAGGACTAAATAACAGATTCAGAAACGAAAACAGAAAATGAAAATAGGCTTCAGGACTGCCTGTATGGCCACTTAGTTAAAAAGTGTTTCTAAATTAATATCTGCCCATTAGGCGCTAGGAAAGGCAGGGGGAGATTTTGAGCAGGGGATCAATGTGACAGGCTGGTGCTTTTGAATCATCATTTTTGAGGTTCCTACTACACGCTAAGCAGTTTATTTCTATTTTGTGGATTATCATAGTGACACTGCAAGGTAGGTGCATTGACCCCACTCTACAGCTGAGGCTCAGAGGAGTTCAGCCGTGTGTCCAGGTTGTGCATGTTAGAAGTGGAGGAGCTGTCATTTTCATTTACGTTTGATTCTATACTTTCACTCAGGAGTGAGAGAAGAGGTTCTGTTTATTTTTTCTAAGGAAACAATCTAAATTGGGGTAAAATGAGATCCATCAGACTGGGCTCTAGAACTCAGGTAACTGCTTGGTGGGGAGGGGTGCATATAAACTCCCTTCCTTCAATCTGTTGGCTTATTTGAGTTCAGTGCTGAAACAAACAGATTCTTTTCAAGGGCTGCACTGGATCCCCAGAGAGGCCACCCCTGCTGTTGTTCTGGAGCATTTTCAAGAAAGCACCTTGAAATGGCTTCACCTCTCTCATTGTCTGACTGTCCCAGATGGCTCCGCACTGCCCTGGGGGGCCATAGCACACCAAGTGGCACCAGCATAGGTGAGAGAGGCACCTTCCTCTGTCAGCGCAGGAACAGCATTTACCCCACTTCCCAAAGTCACGGAGGAGCAGACAGTGTCCGAATCTGTCATGTCAGGAGGTGAATATCCTCTCCTGCTGCCTCAAGGGTAAAAGAGCAGGAAGAAAGGCTCATGCTGGCTCTTAGTCTTCACTGGAAAGAAAGGGAAGGAACAGCTGAGGGAAGAGGAAGGGCAGGCCAGGGAGACAGGGAGGAAAGGAAGCCAGGAAAAATAAAATAAAATAAAATGGGCTGGACTCAGTGGCTCACACCTGTAATCCTAGCACTCTGGGAAGCTCGGGAGGGAGGATTGCTTGAGCCCAGGAGCTCAAGAACAGCCTGGGCAACACAGCAAGTCCTCGTCTCTACAAAAAAGAAAAGAAAACGGAAAACAGTATCAGCTACCATTTATTGAGGACTCATTATATGTCAGGCACTGGACTAATTCTCACGACAGCTTTCCATAGTGGGCATTATTTTCCTCATTTTACAATAAGGAAACAGGCTAAAAGCACTTAGGGAAGTTGTCCAAGTTCGCAGTCAGTGACAAAACAAGGTTTGCATCCAGTGGCCCAGGACTCCTCACTTGTAATTATGATGCTAATTTCTCCAAAGCCAAGAGAGCCCCTCTGGGGGAGAGAAACAACTCTCAGTGCAGTAAAAATATTTAGCATTGATCGATGGTGTGATTTAGGCAATCAGGACAAATTGTTCTGGTTTGGGGGCCTACAGTTCAGTGTCCCTGGTTTCTAGACAACCAGAGAGACTGAAAATGGAGCCCAGGAGAGTAGCTGTAATAAAAGGAACTTGAGTTATGTCTCCTGGAAAAGAGAAGCAGGAGGAGTGATTTAATAATCCTGTCAAATCTCCAAGGATGGCAGCCGGCAGTTCTGTAGCTCCACTGAGAGAAGAACAAGAAGGAACAGGTTTCCAATCCGGTGAGAGGAATTAAAGTTGAGTACCTAGACAGATGTCCTGGCCCCGCAGGCTTGCAACCTCCACACCCCTGGTATGGACTTTCCTCCTTGGGAGAGCTTTGAACACCTTGTGGAGGCTCAGCCGGCCAGGCAGGCTCCATCCTCCCAGGTGCTGGGCAGAGAGGTGAGGTGTCACCCCTGTCAGCAAACTCTGCTGTGCCAGGTGCTTCTCACACAATGTAACAAAACTGATACAGGTTGGAGCAAAAGTAATTGCGGTTTTTGCCATTACTTTCACACGCACCTTAATACTTAGGAGTACGGGTCACTAGCCAGGCCTTGTCCTCAGTGCTTTATGTGTATTTCTCCACGCAGTCCTCTTAATGACACCTTGAAGCGGGCACAGCTGTCCTCTCAAGTGAGGCATGGAGAGGTTGGGTAACTTGCCTAAAGCCACACAGCCAGGGAGTGTCAGAACCAGGATTCAAACCCAGGCAGTTCACCTCCCTCACATCAGCCTCTTCTGTGCCTCTCTGATGTTCAAGCAGATATGATAATCCCCATGTACAGATGAGGAGACCGTGGTTCCGAGGGGGTATTTTACTTGCTATTCAGTGGTGGGGCCAGACCCGAGGTCCGTGTTTCACAGCATGTGCTGGGACCTCTCGGCTTCTTCCTCCCCTTCCTGCCTGCCCCTCATTTCCTCCCTTACTTCTGTGTGTTTGAGGTTATGATTTCTCTTGCTCACGGGCCTCTCCATTCCTTAGGGGAGCTGGAGAAGCAGCAGGGAACAAAGACACTCTCCTTCAAGCCCAGCGGAGCCCAGGGGGACCCACAGTCAAAGCAAGGATCGCCGACAGGTGAGCCTCGGCTCTGCCCAGGGCGCCAGCCCCCATGGAGGCCACTCAGGGACCCTGGGTGTGGGTCCTGGGCAATCTGCAGGGAGAGTTGCCCGTTCCCATGGCATGTTTCTTTCTGCTGAGGAGTGCCAGGCTTGCCTTCTTTAATCTCATGGGCTTTAGTGGTGGGAGTAAGGAGGAAGGCAAGAGAGAAATGTGTCTGTCCATTTTGCAAACTGCACTGGAGTTCTGGAGTCTATGTGAGATGTCACTGTCTGCCCTGGAGGAGTCAGGCAAAGTCCTGGCATCCCGGGCCCAGCAGGGAGGCCTTCCCTCCTGCAGCCAGGCTGTCTTGACGAGACGAGGTCAAGAGAAACCCCATGAGGAGCACTCTCCAACCAGGCAGTATAAGAGGGCAGGGTGACCAGAAGGATCTGGATCTTGCTCTTCTCTGTACAGTCCCTTCACTAATGAGGCAAAAGCACTCCCTAATCCCTGGCTCAGGTCAGCTCACCCCAAATCCAGAGAGACCCTCAAACTCCACTTCTCTAATGGTTTCTCCAGTTGAATTGCTCACTCCAGCCAAGTCAAGTTGGCTCCAGAGGTGGCACCTCCTTCAGCCAGGTTCCCTAGACCTGCGTCCTCTGCCCCCAAGGGCCCCTACCTTCTACCTCCTACCCCAACCTTACCCCCACCTGCAGGGGATCAGGAAAAGTTTCCACCACTTCCCCTCCACCAGCCCCAAATAAAAGAGAACGAGGAGAGATGCATGAGAATTCAGTCTCATTCCAGTGACATCCCAGCAAGCCATCCACGACTGTCCACCAATTAGTTAACTCAGTCACTTACTCTTACACTCAACAAACACTTCTCGAATGGCTGCTGCCCTGTGCAGAGCACTGGAAAGCCAGGATCATAGCGAGAAACTCCAGTGGCCTCCACGCGGTCCATGACCTGCCACAGTTGGCCCTGACCCCTGACTTGGAACAGGCAGCAGCACGGGGACTGGTTACGGCAGCGAGGACATGAGATTCGCTTTCCGAGCAGGACATGGGGCTGTTTTTGCTCTGTAGAGGTTCTCACTGGGATGGAATCTTCCCTATGTGGGTTTGACCTGCCATCGTGCGTCCATAATTCTCCACGCGGCCTGATTTCAGTTGGCCTCTTCATTTCTATAAGGTCATAGGGCACGGGTCGCTGCTTGTTTTCTCAGCTGTGAAACCCCAGAGCTAGCCCTCAGCTGCGTATTATTCCCTGCCAGATGCCTGTCCCCAGGGACGTGTCCCTTAGTCGCTTCCACAGCTGGGTCTGTCTCATTCCCAGACAATGGTGCAGCTCCCTCTACTGCTGCAGGAAGCAGAGGACTGAGCAGAGCAGGGGGAAGCTGGCACCCCCAGGGGTTGGGAAATGAGAGGGGCTCCTGTGGGGGTAGGGGTGGAAGCCGGGAGTGACTCAGCCAGAAAGAGCCAATGAGCTATCCATGGAGGTCCTCAGGGTCCCTGCTGCTGTGCCAGGCCAGCCAGAAGGCCCTCAGAGTAATTACAGAGCCATTATCGGCTTTTACTGTGCCAGGCACTGCGGTGAGTGCTGTGCAGGCCTCAGCCCATTTGGTCCTCCCCCCTCAGCCAGTCTGCAGGGCTGGGAGCAAAGAAGTGTGGCTCACACTCAAGGAGCCTGTGATCCACGGAGGCTGATGAACGTGGCGCCCACAACCCAGGCCTCCTCCAAGCCAGCTTTCACAGTTCGTACTGGGGAGGCTTTGACTGTGGGTAAATCAGATTCCACAATGCCAACATGAGAAAGAGCGCCAGAGATCTTCTAGTCTGTGGCAGCCCAGAGAGATGTAGCATCTCGCCCAGGTCACACAGCTTCTAAGTGGCAGAGTGGGACTCCCAATCTCCGCCCCAGTGAGGAGCAGCGTGACCCCAAGTCTTAGCTGCAGAGATGCTTGAGGGGCGCAGGGGAGGGGCACGTAGCTCATTCTCAGCCAGTAGAGAATGAGCCCTGTGCTCTTTGCATTCAAAGCCAAAAGGGAGGCCGCGCTCAGGGAGAAGCCGGCGGAGAGCACGGTGGAGGTAAGTGGAGCCCTGGTTGCCCAGGTGAGTGACTCCCTGCCCCCTTGTCCTTCTTCTCACCGTCTCTGTTGTTTCTCTTCTCAGGTATTAATCAATGCCTCCCCAGCCCGACTCACCATTTTACCAATTTCAAGAGATACAATTAAAAGTTACTGCTAGCATGGGTAATGCCACTGTTCCAGCACCTAATTAAGCCTCGAGCTCTTTCTCCCCTTTCCCCAGCCTGCTGCCCTCCGAGGCTGAGCTCCCAGACTAACACAGTGGAGACGGAGCTCATGACACCCTAGGCCATCCTTCCTGTGTGCCCCCAAATCCACCTCCCCAGGAAATGCTCACTGCTCACTGCTCCCCCAGTACTTGCTGTATCAGAGAACCTCACATCCCCTTCCCCAAGTCCTCCCACCCTCCATAGCGGGGAGCCTGGGCTCCCCCGGAGAGTCACCCCTCAGGCCAGGCCCCAAACGATCACCTCTGGGGCAGACCCTGCCCTCTTGGACACCTGGGGCCAGGTTGGAGAACTGAGACTTGGGGGCCGGAGGGAGGGGGGCTCCTCCCTGGAACAGCTGGTCCATCTGGAAAGCTGGCCATGGCGTGGGGATGTGTGCAAAAGAAAATGAGACAGAGTAGGGTGGGGCTGTCTTGGGGGCTTTCCTGGGGTAAGAGCGATAAACCTGAAGACTGTCTGTGGTGGAGGGGAGGCTGCCCATCTCCACGTCACATAGCGAGGGACTGCAGAAGACCCAGCAGCAGCTGGTCCCTGCCAAACCCCCACAGTGCCACCTATGGGAGGAGCGTGCAGATGCCCCTACAAGCCTCGTGAGCCCCAGCCCTCTCCCACTGGGTCCTCCTGCACCCCAGTGAGTCCCAGCTCCACTCCTTTCCTGCCAGGCCTCCCGGAGCCACCAGCTGCTCATATAGTCACCTCCCTTCCCAGCCCCTACTTCGAGCCGGAGGGAGCCCCATTAGGTGTCTTATTAAGGTGCCCTACCCACCAGTCTGACTAAGCCCTGGGAAGAAGCAGGACACCCCAGGGGAGCTCAGTGTCTTCTCTCTCTCCCACGGCCCTCCACCCCCCACACACCCGTGTCTGGAGGAGGCACCTTTACAAGGAGGAGCTTCCTGCCCCAGCAGCTGACAAGCCCCCAGGGTGGGTATTCTATTCCCCGCCCCCTCCACTCCCCATCCTCCGCAGCTGCCCGTTCTTGAGCCTTGCAGATAAGCACACCCGTGCCCAGCCCTCTGTTCTGTTCTGCCAGCCCTGCCCTGCCCTAGCCTGAGCTCCCCAGGGAGGACAACCAACCCCACGCTCTCCTCCCTTCTGCCCTGCCTAATGGCATATGGCTATCTGCAAGGCTGCCACCCTCAGCTAGCTCCAGGGCCCCGCCAGCCTCTGCTCTCCTGCGCAGAGGGCAGCCTCGCCTCCCATGGCCTCAGCTGGACCCCAAGCTCTCTCTCCTCTGCCCTCTCTCTGCCGTTGCTGGCCAAGCCCCTCTGGCAGGTGCTTCTCCATCTTCTCTGAGCTGTTCTGACCTGCTGCCCATGTTCCATCCTCTGTCTCCCCCTTCCCCCTCATTCATTCTTTCATGAGCAGGGAGGTGAGAAGGGGGTCAGAGGAGAGGACATTTTGCTGTCACTTCCTGCTTTACACTCACCACTAAAGAGAAAGGATCCAGACTGGGATGGGGCCGGGGGTGCAGTGGAGGGACCAGAGCAGGGGAGGTAAACGGGAGGCGCAGGCTGTGGCCCAGAGCAGGCGCTGCGTGGGGAGCCTCAGGGAGAAGAAGGACTGCTCGGGATCTGGACTGGGACAGCCAGACATTCGGCTGGGGAGGGCTGCTGCCACGTCCAGGTGGAGGGAGGCAGATGAGCACAGCCTGTCCTGGCTGTCTCAGGCCCCGTGTCTCCTGGGGAGGAATTCAGAACACAAGCAGGAGGGGGAGGAGCGCGTGCCCCCCAGCGGCTTCTGCCTGAGTGAGGACCCTGGAGGGATCCCCAGAGGCAGGTGGGCCCCAGCCATGCTCTGTACCTGCCGTGTCTTGGAAGGACAGTGAGGGGCTCAGGGAACCTTGGTTTGTTTAGGGGGAGGACCTCAGGCCTGGAAAATGTGCTGAGGTTGGAGGCTGAGAAGGAAGAATAAAGCCTGTGACATGCCGAGTGTGGCAGTTGGGCTCGTGAATATTGAGGGGCAGACAAAGGCCTGGGGAGCCTCAGGAGGGAAGTTGCCCACTGGGAGCACACAGGTCCGGGAACGGGTGTCCCTGAACTGCACCTGCAGCCAAAACACAGGGTGACGAAATGCTGGTTTAGGGTTCCGGGGTCGTTTTGGGCTGGGCCAGCTGGGTCTAGGCCTGGGATGAGGTACCTCCCCTGCAGCTTCCGTCTCCCCCTCGGTGCTCTGAGCAGCGGCCCCAGGTGGTGCTGCCCGAGGACAGATGGCAGCCCAATAGGAAGATCCTCAGCCCAATAGGAAGATCCTCAGAGAGGAGGAGGGTCCCAGCCTCCCCCAGAGGACCCAGGTGTTTGGAGGGGATTGTGGGGTGTCATAGCGATGGGCAGGGGAGCTTGGGGGTGGAACGGTGTGAGGAGTTAAATCCTTCTCCTTCCAGAATCCTCTAGCCTCCCTTCCACCCATCTCCTCCACCTCCCGCTGCTAGCAAGGGGAGGCCAGGCTAGTTCACAGTGACCTCCATGTCTGAGGGCGGAGGCTCATGCCCCGCCTTGGGGATCAAGGTTGGAGCCCTCTCTGGGGATCCCCTCCTGCAGCCAGGCAAGTTAACCAGGACCCGGCTTGGGCCAGAATGACAGCTGGGGAGCTGACTCTGCCTCGGCTGTTTGGGCTGCTCTCGAATGCAGGGTCACGGCCTTGGGGAGTCTGGGAGGACAGGTAGGTCCAGATCACCCTGTGGCATTCTGGGGTTTAAGCCTCTATGACGTCAACGGTACCAGTGATTCTTCCTCTATAACAGGGCTGGAGGGAACAGAGAGACATGAAAGGTTCAAAAATGCTTGGCCCTGTGTCTGGGTCTGCCCTCCTTTGCCTCAACACACTCCTAGGAGGTGGGGAGGGGCAAAGACTATGGCCCCTGCTTTCAAGCTCAGAGTGTGGTGGAAAAGGAGGTGAGGAGGAGTTTTCCCGTGGCCTAGGGACACCCAACAGCTCCGTGAAGTCAGGCGGCAGAGGAATGCAGAGCCCGTCTTACAGATGGAGAGACTGAGGCCACAGTGCGACGCCGCTCACAGTCAGTGGCAGGACATGCCAGCCTCTCGACTCCTCTCTCCCTCCTGGGCAAAAGCCAGAGTCAGAACCCAGTCTTCTTGCGGGTAGAGAGATGGAGAGAGGGTCAGAGTGAGGGCTGAGAGTGGGAGGGAGGCCAGGGGAAGCTCAGGGCAGCCTGTCCTCGCAGCTGGGAATTAGTCTTGTAACATTTCATGCTTCTCTGGCTGTTTCTAAACTAGGTGTCAATTCACAACAGGCTTCAAACGTCCCAGCACAACTCCGGGCTGGGGGCCGAGAGGGGAGCGCCGGTGCCGCCGCCAGACCTGCCGCCTAGCCCCCTGAGACAGCAGCCCCCGCCGCTGCCGCCGCCGCCACCCACACCCCCGGGCACCCTGGTGCAGTGCCAGCAAATTGTCAAGGTCATTGTCCTGGACAAGCCCTGCCTGGCCCGCATGGAGCCCCTGCTGAGCCAGGCTCTCTCCTGCTACACCTCGTCCTCCTCAGACTCCTGCGGCTCCACACCCCTGGGCGGCCCCGGCTCTCCGGTCAAGGTCATCCACCAGCCGCCGCTGCCCCCGCCCCCGCCCCCCTACAACCACCCTCACCAGTTCTGTCCACCAGGCTCCCTGCTGCACCGGCGCCGCTACTCCAGTGGCTCAAGGAGCCTGGTGTAGACTCTGCCCCACTCCCCTCCTGCCCCGGGAGGGCTGGCCACTGGGGGGCCTGGGCTGCCCCTCCACTGCTCCCCACACCCTGGCACGATGCGTTCCTGGTCACTGATCACCATCATTTTGGGAAGAGAATCCCAATCCTGGCACCTGGGTTTGCCTCATCCAACATCCTTCCCTTTCTCAGCTGCACCCCGACTCCAGTTCTGAAGACACACCTCGCTCTCCCGGGGCCCTACGCAGCCAGACCCGGCGAGGCCTCCTCTTCCCCTGGCCACCACGTTCCCCCTGGACCATGGACTGAAGAAACTGGAGCTGAGGCTCTAACTAGCTTGCAGGCTTTGAGTCTGTTAGTGCCTGGGGGCCTCGGGCCATGGGGCAGCAGCATGAGGCTGGGCCGGCCGGCAGTGGAGCACTAGACTGAAGGTGGCTGGCTCGCAGCCCAGAACTAGTGCCTCCGTGGCTGTGCTGAGGGGAGGAGGGTTGGTCCCGCTCCCTGGAGGGACAGGTGGGAGAAGTGAGGGTGGGGGCTTTTTCTGCTGCCCCCACCCCCAAGCCTGGCGCTCTCAGGAGGCTACTCCTTGGTCCCCAGGGACGTTGGCTGCCCTGACCATGTCCTTCCCCTCCTCCCGGGGCCTCTGCTTCCTCAGGAGCTGCCCAGACTCCAGAAAAGCTTGGAGAAAGGGAGGCAGGAAGAGGAGCACTTTAGCGCTCTGCGGGTCAGTTCAGCAGGGTCATAGGATTGTGAGGTCATGGATCTGCAAAATGCACCTTTTTAAAGAGTTTCTTAGTTCCCCAGCCCCAGCTAATACCCAGCCAGTGCCGTGTGCGCACAGGCATGTGCACGTAAACATGCATGAGAACCAGGCCGTTCCTTCCGTTGTGCAAGCGGAAGTGGAGACGGGGCAGTGATCTGCCCAGCAGAGATGGGGCTCGGCGCGAGGCAGGGCTCCCTCTTGTGTGAGTCTGTGGCCTCCAGGAGGGACTTGGGTGCAGAGGTAAGCAAGAAAAATGGGCTCCAGAGACATATGCATTTCCCCTGCACCCCTCAGCCTTTAAATATTTCCCCCTCCTAGAAGGTTCTAGACCTCCCCTTCCAGCAGGGGTGCCCAAGAGTCCCTGGACCCTCAAAATTGCAAAGGAGGCCCAAGCGTGGCTCACTGACCTCCCAGGGCCCACCAAGATGGGATAGCCAGCCTTAGGTGGCCCCACGAGCTCAAGCCTGGGGAAGATGAAAGGCAGCCACCCCAGAGACTATAGGAGCCGTACCATGGCCTGCCCAGTCAGGCCCTATCAGGACGTGTCTGTCCCAAGCCTGGCCAGGCTCCAGTTCTGTGCCAGCAGCTCATTGCTGTCCTGTGTGCAGGTCCCCCCACACTTGGAGCCTGTGGTTAAGGCCTGGGAGAGGAAGTGAACATGAGTCAAGTGTGACATGGACTTGAATCTCCCCACCCTTCCCCTGCCCTGTCCCACCTGCAGTAGCTAGGCCAGGTAGGAAGCAAGGATCATTCCCGGCTCTCAGAGGTTCCAGATGACCTAGTTTCATTTCGTGTGTGTGTGTATGTGTGTGTGTGGTCACTCAGACGTCACTGTGATATCACCCAGTGAGTCTATTTCTGGCCCTGTCTTTGTCGGCCCAGTTTCCGTAACTTGCAGCCAATTTGCCCTCTCCCCTGTGGCTGCCAGCCCGTCTGCCCCTCCGTGTCCTTGCTGCCATGGCCCTCCTCTGTTTTCGGTAACAGATGCTCCAGCCATTGCATTTCAGAGTGGAGCAGACAACAGATGGGGTGCACAAATTCAGACACCTCTGATGCCCTTAGCCAAGGCAGGGATCGCCCTTAAAGTGAAGGCCTGGACAGGAGGTGTCAGGGACTTGGGAGGAGTCCTGGGGATGGGAGTGGAGGAATCTTAAAATGAGGGAAGCTGAAAATAGAATGAAAACGATGACTAAGAGGCAGGAGTGCTAGGTATGGGGGAATAGGAACTATGAGCTAAATATACTTAGGGGGTGGGGGCCAGGGACACTGTCCCAGACAGCCGTAGCACGACAGGCAGGACCCTGTCCCCTGCTCACATAGCTCTTCAAGCTTACAAAGTACCCTCTCCCCTGTTGAGGGGCACAGTAACCCCAGGCCCTCCCTCCCACCTCAGCTGAAGCCCAGATCTTCCAAATTGGAACCAGCAAAAGTCAGGGCTGGCGCGCATGTGGGCCTCCATCTGAGAAACTGGACTCTCAGGCACCTCGGGGCCCCTGCCCAGGGCAGAGGCCCACCCCTTGGGTTGGTGCAGTGGCTGCCCTGGGCCCCACTGGCAGCACAGGGAGTCTCCAGGAAGCAGCCCGGCCTGGGGTCAGCTTCCCATGGAGCCAGTCCAGAGCTGGGAGGGGCATTCAACCCCTGAGGGCCTGGGGCAGGACACAGCTGCCCTCCTCACTGTCAGGGGAAGCAAGTGCCCAACATCTGTAACCCTTCCCTGCTCAGTCCCCAGGCCAAGGTTGGGCCTCCTCTCCGTCCCCGTCGCTGTCCCCAGAGCCTAGACCTTGGGGACCTGGGAAAAGCCTCCCGCTCCCTCCCAAGGGCAGCAGACAGAGCAGGGCCTCCAGCCCCCCAGAGGACCAGTGGGGGTGCTCTTAGGCCTTCCTGCTCTCCCAAGGTTGCGGGGACAGTAGAGTGCTGACTGAGCCCCAGACTCAATCACCCAAAGATGGCCCCACTCTATCCACTCCAGACCTTTGGGAAATCTGGGTCCCTCTCCTGATTTGATCCATTTGGCCCCAACTCCAGAGCCTGGAATGGGAGATGAAACTAGTTTTCCACCCACTTTTGGGGAAATCCCACCCCTAGGTCTCTAGCAAGCCCTGCTGACAGCTTGTCCTGGAAGCCTGCCTGCCTGTCTCCACGGGTGTCTCGATCCAGCACACACTGATCAGCCCTGCGTCTTCGGGCCCCTGCGCCACCGGTCCCCACGGCCCGCCAGGAGTCTCTGTACCCACTAGGCTTCCCTGATGACCATCTATCTGTCCGTCCCTGTGTCTGCTGTACGTCCCTCCTGCTGCACCCTCTCCCCACACACCCGTCGCCCATAAGAGAGAAACCTCTCTAGGGAAAGGCAGGGTGGCTCCACCCAGCAACTAATCCAAATGGCAAATATTTTGTAACAAAATAGCCCAGAGGTATTTTATCTGTTCAATTCATAGAGTTTTAGAGATTATATTGAAAGATGTCACTTGAGCAAACTGTGTCGGTGCAGCTTCTTTTGCTCTCCCAGCAGGGAGGGCCCGCCTTAAATCAGAGCATCTCTTCGGGGAGGATTTGAGAAGGACACGGATGCCCTCAGCGTCTCAGGCTGCTCTCCCCTGGCCACAGCAGTACTATTCCTTTACCCCAGGGCAATGCACTCATGTCCCATGGTTAGGAACCCCCGTCTTCCATAAAGGAGACTTGGGTGTGGGAAGATAAGGTAAGTCTTCCTATGGGTGGGCACTGGCAGAGCTGGGGATAGGGCTAGGAAACTGACCACCGTGTGTGTGGGCCTGACCCCGCTAACACATGCATACACCCCTCACTCCACCTCCCCGACCACACACACACACAGCTTCCAGCCGGTCCAGAAAGCAGGCTACAGTGGAGACCAAAGGCAGCTTTGGAGGGAGGAGGCCCCACGGCAGTCAGTACACCTCCGGGGGGCAGAGGAGGACCACCTCTGGCCTGCTTGGCTTTCTGCAGTGAAGAGTGAGGGTTTATCAGGGTGCGGGGGAGGCCATCCCACTGGCCATGCCAGACGTCGGCTCCCAAAGCCTGACTTCAGTGGCAGGGTCTGGTTTGTCCAGCCCCGGGGTCCAGTCTTCCTGAAATGCAGGAGCAATGGGGCCCATGAAAGGACTGGAGGAAGACGGTTGGGGACAGTGCACAAAGCCGCAGAGAGCAATTCAGCAAACATATGCTGAGCCCCACAGTGTGCCAGGTCCTGGGAGCCAGAAGGGATGCCAAGGTTCTGGGAAGGATATGGATGTGACAGTAACCAAGTGGCTGTGAGGAAGCAGGGAAGGCTGGAATGAGGATTGGGAGAGGTGCAGGGGCCCAGCCAGGTGCTCACAGCCAGGTGCAATGCTCAGCTCAGCTCCATGGGGCTTGAGATGGGTGGTTCTCCTGGTCGGGGAGAGAGGAGAGCGCCTTCCAGCAACACTGAGTCATCAGAGGAGAGCAATTGGCTGCCCCAGGACACCCAAGGGCACCCAGCTCTCCTGGTGACCAGAATTCTGAACACCTAGAAATCCCAACAGCTTCAGGACCTTCCCCAGGCTGGCTCCTGTCATTCCCAGCTAAAGGGAAAGGAAGCTTGACCTCACCCTCTTCCCAGGAAATGGGAAATTCCAGAGTAAGCTGGAAGCCAGCTATGACCTGTCCCATCCTGGGAAATCTCTGACCTGAGAAGCTGAGGACTGACCCCTTGAGAGCACTCTGCGGGGAACCAGCTCAGCCCGGGCCTGGGAGAGAGCCAAGGGCCAAGACGGCCCTGCTGCTCTCTGTGCCGGATGCAGGCCTATGGCACCATTCTCCAAATCTCGGTTCCCTCAGCTCATCTAGGATGAATACTTGTCCCTCCGGTGAGAGGAAGACCATCCTGTTCTGACAGAGCCCGTCTGGTGGTCCAGGCCCCTCTGTGCCCATCTGCCGTAGGGATGGAGAGCTACGGTCCGTGCATCTCCCTCCATAATGACCCTTTGCAGATGGGAGAATGTCAGACTCATCAGTCATTGACTTAGAATGCTCCTAGTAAGGGGTCCCGGGACGTACTGGTTTCTGGCTGAGAGCAGTGGCCCAGAGCTCGTGCTGGAAATCGGGATGAACTGAACGATAAGTTTGTGACCACCTGCTGAGCACTGTTCTAGGTGCTGGGGGCTATGCAGTGAAGGGGACAGGGAAGGTTCACACTGGGCGGTGCCATCAACAAGAAATGGAGCAGCTGCCTTCACATAGAGGATGGTGACCCAACTGGAGTGATGGGGAGAGCCTGTTTTAGGGTAAATATTCAAGGAAGGCCTCTCCAAGGAGGAGAATTCAACAAGGTCAAGGTCCGGTCTGAGGGCAGGTGAACAGTTCAGAGACCATCACTTCAGGTCAAATGACCACAATTTGTCAAAAAATGGTTTCCTGATATATGCATTTACTTACATGAAAAAATCTTATGAAAGTGTAAACATGAATTTCAAAACATCTTTACTGAGGAAAGCAAAATTGGTCTTCTAGCAAATCCAGGGCAGACGGTCACCATAGTCACAGACCAGGAGAAGAAGTGCTTGACAGTGGGCCGTCAGGCGCTCCAGCCGGGCAAGGATGAGGCCAGGGGTGGGACAGAGCTAAGGCCATGTGAGCAGCCGTCACCGCAGGAAGACCAGGCCACCAAAGTAGACCACAGAAAGCACACACCAGCAACAGTGAAGTCAAGCTACCCTGAGCCGAGGCAGCTGCTGCCCAGAGCAAGCACGTGCTTGTGCGACCCTGTGTATGGATGGGGAGCAGCACACTCCAGGTCAAGGAAGCCTGCTGTCCACCTCCTCCTCTGTCGCCTCAAACCAAGAGGGCTCAGGTTTCCCATTTTTAAATTTTTCCTGTATTTATGTTTCAAAGAAGGGGCCTTGGTCTGTCGTCCAGGCTGGAGTGCACTGGTACGATCACAGCTCACTGCAGCCTGCAACTCCTGGGCTGAAAGGACCCTGCCCGCCTCAGCCTCCCAAGTAGCCTAGACTACAGGCGCGTGCCACCATGCCCTGCTGATTTTTACGTTACTGTTATTATTATTTTTGTAGAGATGGGGGTCTCTCTCCAGCCTAGCCAACACAGTAAAACCCCGTCTCTACTAAAAATACAAAAATTATCCAGGCATGGTGGCGTGAGCCTATAATCACAGCTACTCAGGAGGCTGAGGCACGAGAATCGCTTGAATCCGGGAGGCGAAGGTTGCAGTGAACTGAAATCATGCCACTGCACTCCAGCCTGGGCGACAGAGCGAGACTCTGTCTCAAAATAATAAAATAAAAAAATAAAGATGGGAGATCTCTATTGCCCAGGTTAGTCTTGAACTCCTGGGCTCAAGGGATCCTGTCACTTCTGTCTCGTGAGTAAACTGAGACTACAGGCGCGCACCACTATGCCTGGCTAATTTTTGTATGTTTTGGTAGAGACGGAGTCTCACTATGTTGCCCAGGCTGGTCTCGAACTCCTGGCCTCAAGGTATCCACCCACCTCGGCCTAGGCTTGCCATTTTTAAATAATGGAATGGACTCCATGGCCTATTGCCCAGCAGTCCCAGGGAGTCCAGGGGTAACAGCCTTTCACATCTCACCGTGAACCCCACAGAACTGAAGAGAGATTGATTTCTCCTTCAAGGGGTTGATGCTACATGGCTGTGGCCCTTGGCACGCCTCCTCCCACCCCAGCTCCAATAGATGTGGCCGATTGATCATTGCTTTCTGGGAGTCACCGTCAATCACATGTGCTGACTCCAGGCTGAAATGAACCTGCCAACCGCCCCATGGTGTCTTCATGGAGATACCTGCAAGGAAGGCATTTTGACGGGAGGTGGCTTAGAGCAGGGGGCAGCAGGCTGGAGGTGTGGCCCTCCTAGTGCCACTGCTCTCAGGTCACTCATGGACAGCAGCTCTGGGGGTGCTGGCTTTGGCTCCTGAGCTCTGCCCCTCAGGGACTCAGGGCTGCTTCCTGCCAGGACTCCTCACTACTCTGCAACCTGTCAACTACCCTGTGCACCGGGTCCCCTCACTCACCTTCCTCAGGGTGAGCCACATGGCCACCAGGGCCACAGATGAAGGTCTGAAGATGCCCAGGCAAGAAGGACGCTCCGTCCAGGGCAGAGCCTTTGGAGCTACAGCAGACCCTGTGGAGGCAGGGGAGGCGCTCCTTCCAGGAGAACATGAGGCCCAGCCAGAGCCAGGTGGCCTGGAGCCACAGGCTGAGTTCGGATCTGCTCCCCTTCCCTTCCCAGGACAGCAGCCAGGCCCCAAGATAGACCCATGCCCAGGTCAGAGTCAGGGAGGTTAAATGAGGGCACAGGAATGAGGGGTGCAGAGGGGACAGGTCCAGAAGTGGTTCTGCCAGAATTCCCTTCCGGAGGGGCTGGAGGAGAGGGAGCTGGAGCTCAGCGGGTGGGTGGATGGGAGCGCTCTCCTCCCCTGCGCCCTCCCTCCCATGCCCCTGCAGGTCTGCATGGGTTCCCTCCCTGGGGAACCAGGCCGCCTCACCCACCAGCCGGCCCCTAGCACCTCAGCACTTCCTGCTCCCATGACCCTAAGGATTAAGTGATCTCAAGCCTGGCTCTGGGAAAACTGTGGGAACCGGCCGCTGGGAAGACGACCGGGCTGTGACTCCCACGTTTCCAACTGCCTAGACAGACCCGCCTTGCCCTCCTTTCCTCAAGAAACCCGAATCCCCTTTCCTTCTGAGACATCCGGGCTAGGCACCAACTTCCCTCCCTGAGTCCTCAGAGGGAATGGAAGGCCAGGGAGTCACGGAGCCCGCAGTGCCAGGCCTGCAGGCTGAGTCACAGGCCAGTCATGCTTCTATGGCTAACGGGACGACTTCACTTAAGAGGTTCAAAAAGAAGAACAGAAAAAGCCCAAAGGAAAGACATAATAAAGGCAAACGCAGAAGTAATAAAATAGAAAATAGATATACAATAGAAAATACGAACAAAACCAAAAGTTAGTTCTGAGAAATGACTAATAAAGTTGACAAACCTCTGATAAGACTGATCACGAAAAAGAGAGACGGCACAAATAAATAACCTGAGGACCAACAAAGAGAACATAACTATGAATGCTGCAGAGATTTTCAAAATAAAATACTTCAAATCAACTATAAACCTATGGCAAGAATTTTGAAACCCTCCACAAGATGAACGCTGTCCTAGAAAAATATCTTACCAAATCTTGCTCAAGAACAAACAGAAAATTTGGGATGTATAACCATTAAATTAAAGTGGAATAGGTAATTACAAGCCTTAGGGCCAGGAATCTCAGCAGTTCGGGAGGCCAAGGCAGGAGGATCACTTGAAGCCAGGAGTTCAAGACCAGCCTGGGCAACATAGTGAGACCCCCTCTATACACAGATTTTAAAAATAACCCAGGCATGGTGGTATGCAACTGTAGTCCCAGCCACTGGAAGGCTGAAGTGGGAAGATCACTTGAGCCCAGGAGGTTGAGGCTGCAGTGAACCAGGACTGCACCACTGAACTCCAACCTGGGCAATACAGCGAGACCCTTTTTCAAAAAAAAAAAAAAAGAGAGGGCCAGGTATGGTGGTTCAAGCCTGTAATCCCAGCACTTTGGGAGGTGGAGGTGGGCAGATCACTTGAGTTCAGGGGTTCGAGACCAGCCTGAGCAACATCGTGAACCCTCGTCTCTACCAAAAATACAAAAAATTAACGTCACTCCAGCCTGGGCGACAGAATGAGACTCTGTCTCAAAAAAAAATAAAAAAGAAGGAAAGTATTCACCACTGCCCACCCCCCACCCCCAAGAAAAATCATACAACACCAGGCCAGACGATTTACAAAATCTAGTACACTTCAAGGAACAGATAATCCCAACAGCCTATTAACTCTTTCAGAAAAGAGAAAGAGAAAGAACATCTGCAAACTCCTTTTCATGAGCCTAGTGTAATCTTAAAAACAAAAACTAAAGCAGACAAGGACGACATGAGACAAGACTACCAACCAATCTTGCTATGGGCATAAATTCAGAAATTCTAAACACAATATTAGCCTACCAAACCCAGTATTGAATGACAAAAAAAGATATGCCATAACCAAGTAGGGTTTGCCCCAGGAATGAAAAGATGATTAAGTACTAGAAAAATATAATACTGCGTTACAGTAACAAAGGAGAAAAACAATATGATCATCTCAATAGATGAAGAAAAAGCAATCCATAAAATTCAACCCTTACTATTGATTTGAAAAAAACCTACAGAACTTGGAACAGAGGAAACCCTCATAGCCTAAGTAAATGGTATCTATCAAAAGTCATCAGCCGGCCAGGCATGGTGGCCCACACCTGTAATCCCAGCACTTTGGGAGGCTGAGGTGAGTGGATCACTTGAGGTCAGGAGCCTGAGACCAGCCTGGCCAACGTGGTGAAATCCCGTCTCTACTAAAAACACAAAAATTAACCAGGCATGGTGGCTTATGCCTGTAATCCTGCTACTGGGGAGGCTGAGGCAGGAGAATCGCTTGAACCCGGGAGGCAGAGTTTGTAGTGGGCTGAGATCACGCAGTTGCACTCCAGCCCGGGTGACAGAATGAAACTGTCTCTCAAAA